CTTTCCCTAGTTCTTCATTTTTTTAAGTTTTAATTTTTATTGAAGCTATGTGTATTAAACTGCTTAAGGTGGCCAATAAAACTATGAGGCTTAATAGTGGGAAAGAAGAGTCATAGTTCTTTCTTTTCTACCACCTCAAGTTCTCCCTCCCTAGAGGGGACCACTTTCAACTCTTCAGCTGATTTCTTTCAGTGTCTACTCCCACCTCTCTAAAAGCATATACTTATACTGCCACTTAATTTTTCAGCTCAGGCATTATGCAAGATGTGCAACCTCTCTTCCTTTTACACATATATACTTGCCCCCAGCATGAACTTTTCTATCTGCACCCACAACCTCCCCAAATAATTTTGGTTAAATTAACATTTAGTATTTATTATGATTATGTAAAATGCTATTCCCTGCATGATTTTGTTTTCCCTGGGGTTAATAATTGTCTTTTTAAATTTGCATAATGTATACTCAATTTATCACCAGTTCAGCCCCAAACTCTCCACTAATGTATAAGTGACCTATTTTATCTTCTCTTGTTCTGTATCTTGGTATGGGTCTATCTGCATTCATTTTGAGGGACACTTAGTGGGTTTCTTCATTCTGGAAACTCCAGACCTTTGCTTCTGAAAATGTTTATTTATTGATCATTTCCTCCCCTCCATTTTTATTTTCTCTTTCTAGAATTTCCATTATTCACACATCTACCTCCTAAATTGGTCCTCTTATTTCCATATTTTCTCTCTATATATTTTGTCCGCTTTATCTCCTAACCCAGTCTTTCATTTCTACTATCATAATTTCCAAAGGCTCTTTTTGTCTTCTGAATGCTCTAATAGCTTGCTGTTCTTGTATCATGGATGCAACATTAATCATAGTTTTGTTGTTTATATTCTTCTCCCTGAATAATCTTGGTTGCCTTCATTTTTTATTTCTTTCTCTGTTTTGATCTTTATTTATTTATTTTAATAAGGAGGTTTTAATTTTTTTTAATTATTTATTTTAAAATTTATTTTATTTTTGCCTGCATTGGGTCTTTGTTGCTGCGCACGGGCTTTCTCTAGTTGCCATGAGCGGGGGCTACTCTTTGCTGCGGTGCGTGGGCTTCTCATTGCGGTGGCTTCTCTTACTGCGGAGCACGGGCTCTAGGCGTGCGGGCTTCGGTAGTTGTGGCTCACGGGCTCTAGAGCGCAGGCTGAGTGGTTGTGGCGCATGGGTTTAGTTGCACTGCGGCATGTGGGATCTTCCCGGACCAGGGCTCGAACCCGTGTCCCCTGCGTTGGCAGGCGATCCTTAACCACTGCGCCACCAGGGAAGCCCCTTGATCTTTATATTGAGGCTTTCTTCAGATGTTTGGTCATCCTTGACCATATGCTCTTATTTCAGAGTCAGACAGTGAAGAGCTGATAGGTAGCTCTGAGCCTTAGGTGGTGTTCATCTATAGTGAACTGCTTTGTCAGGGGATCTGGCTAGGCCATTTCATTGGGGGACTTCCAATGTTAGTATCTTTAGATCTTCCCTCTTGTGCTGGTCAGATTCTCCAAAGAAATATCTTCCAATTTTATGTCTGGAATCACAGAACTGACATTCTGGGAAGTGAGTAAGGAAACGAGTGTCCAGGTCACAGTCTGTAAACTCCGGTTTGTCTGATTCTAAGCCCGAGCACGTAACCACTACCCAATACATCACTTTCTCTTCTCTTTACGCCAGTTTAGTTTAACATGTTTTGACTACCTACCCTGGGTCTAAAGGCTGAGTCTAATTAGACCCATTGGTCTGAATGCTGGGGATAAATAAATCATTAGAACAACTTATTCCATTCACCCCAGGTTCAATTTAAGTCAGTAACAGCTTTTGAGCCTAAGATGTTCAAAGTTCTATGCTAGCATTGTGGAGAGGAAAATATCAGTCAGATGTAGTTCCTGTCTCAAGAAGCTCACAGATAAGCGTGGGAGATAGAAACAAATTATGAAACCAAACTACAAGGCAGACATGACATGAGTGCTACAAAAGAAAGGAAAAAGTGCTATGGTCGTTTAGAAAGGAAGAGGAGATTCATCTTGATTGAGGGGATATGAAGGAAGTGGGGATCTTAAATGGAGCTTTTAAACAGTACAGGATTGTACAGACAGAGATGGGGGTGGGTGGGTGTAAGCAGAAACAAAGGCCCAAAGATCAAAAGGTCTGGAGTTTTAGGACACTCCTTCTCTCCACAGGGTGATTCTGGGGGCCCCCTTCATTGCTTGGTGAATGGCCAGTACACTGTCCACGGTGTGACCAGCTTTGTGTCCAGCCTGGGCTGTAATGTCTCCAGGAAGCCCACAGTCTTCACTCGGGTCTCTGCTTACATCTCTTGGATAAATAACGTGAGTCCTCTCAAATGATGGTTTGAAATAGGGCTACCTGGAGACCCAAGCACTGGCTGGGTTGGGGAGCAAAAGTTAAGCAGGGGAAGTCGTCCTCTTCCTCACCGCATTCAAATGTTTACTCCTTTTCCTTCCTCCGTGGTGTACTTTCGCTCGATAACGTTGCCATCCTGAGTTCCACTTCACATACCCACTAAGAATGCTTCACTGTATTGTTTACTGCTTAGGGTAAGGTGGGTGGTGGCAACAGCAGATCTGAACCAGGTACATATCAGTGCTGTCCAAAGTCAAAGCCAAGGGGAAAATGGCTTCCCTCTCCTGGGCGAGGGAAGAGGCACTAACCTTCTCCTCCACCAGTTCTTTCTAAGGGCATCATGAGAATTTGCTCTACCCTTTGCCAAGAGGTTTTACCACCTTAAACAATGCTTGAGGGTTAGGTGAGACTATACCTACACTGACCTGGTGGTAGAGCCTCACAGTTATCCCACCTATACCCTTCAGTCTTCAAACACATTCTGGAGTCTTGTGGCATGAACCTTGACTCACAACCGGTTCGAGGTCTGCCCTTGACGCTAAGTCTTGAGTATGTGCCTATAACACTGAATTGTCCTGACACAGCTGAGAACTATTTCCTGCCCCCGCCCCCGCCTAAACCCAGTACAGGGCCATGCTCACCTGGGAGCCCTGAAGGGAAAAGAAAGGAGGTGGGCAGAAGTTACTGACTGGATATAACCGGTTTTTCATTCAGGTCACTGCCAACAACTGAACATTTTCTTGTGTCCAACGGCCTTCCCAAGATGATTCTTAGATTCACAGCAGGACCTGAGGCCATCAAGGAAAAACCATTCTAACAGACTATTGAGCCAGATGCAGAAATGCAAATAAAATTGAATACATATATTACCCTGTGTCTTTTTATTTGTAATTAAGCCGTCTAGTGGAAATGCAGTTATAGGGCCTGAGTTGGGTTTCACCACATTTCTGGGCTCGTTCTTCTATTTGCTGCCATCTCTATCAGTTCACAAACTAAGCCAAGTGAGAGTGGTCTTACATTGTCCTTTTTGGATTATGTTAGGGCCTACTCATCCATTAATCTGCCCATCTGTCCCTCCTCCCAAACATATTTGCTATATTCAAAGGCACAGAGGGCTTTAAAATGTTCCTGAGTGACTAAATGTGCCCTGACTCTCCCAAGTAGACTATAGGCTTGTCCTTCTTTTGTTTCTCCCTTCAGTGCCTAGAACAGTGCTCACCCCAAGGTTCTGAGTCATGGCAACTACAAGGATACATTAAAGATAGGAGTACAGGATTAGGTGGTAGGCCAGATGCCAGCAGACAATGTAAGTGACAAATTAGAAAGGAGACAGAGAGGAAAGAATAGGAAAAAGGAGAAAAGAAGATAAGGAACAAAGAAAGGAAAGGGTTGAGGGGAAAATAATATGTGGTCTCAAACTAAGTATGAGTCAGCACTTCAAGGCTGGACAAAAATAAGCAACCAGATCCGGGGTTCTATAAACCACAGAGAACTGGGAAGCTGATAATTCTGTCCTATCCTGGCCAGGGCTCAGTCTGTTAGAGTGGCCTGTGATAGAGTGAAGAAGGAACTGAAAGGAGAAGGCTAAGAGGGTGAAAAGTAGCTTTTCATAGCGATCACTGAGGACCAGACAAGAGGTACCGGGATAGTTAACATTACAGCAGGAGAAACTGGCTAAGACCAGTCTTGCAATTTATAGGCTGCTTTGTCAGCAGAGGCCTCTAGAACAGTGTATACACCAAAAGAAGCTGGGCTAGACAGGACACCTTTATTCCCAACTCACTTCTCCCACTGAGGAACTGGGTAACCTTGGGCAAGTCACCAGCCCTTTCTGTTACTCAGTTTCCCTACCTAGTTAACTTCTAAAGATTTTTCCTGCTCTAATAATACTATATGATTTGGTGACGACCAATTTCAGGTCCCAAGGGATTGGCACTGAAGACGGTTTCTTAGGAAGCAGTGGCTGGGCTGCATTGCTGAAGATGCTGAGGATTCCTGACAGTGACCCAGGTATCAGCCTCCTTCTGCTAGTGACACACCTGTTGCCATCACCATCTCTCCTCAGTGTTCCCACAGCACCACAGTCCTCCCACTTGCCCCCACTTCTCCCCACCCAACGTGAAGTCCTTCCATTTTCTTCACTCTTGCCTCTTCTAGACCATCCCCACAGCTAGCATTATAACAGAATAAACCCTAATGACCTATTACCTGAAATTTTTGTATCCATTTCTAGAAATGAATTAAGCACATAACATTATAAACATCTGATTAACAACCTACCTCAACTTCCAGACATTAAGCATCTTGAAGTCAGGGATCACATTTTTTTTTTTTTTTTTTTGGCGGTACCCAGGCTTCTCACTGTTGTGGCCTCTCCCGTTGCGGAGCACAGGCTCCGGATGCGCAGGCTCAGCGGCCATGGCTCACGGGCCTAGCCGCTCCGCGGCATGTGGGATCTTCCCGGACCGGGGCACGAACACGTGTCCCCTGCATCGGCAGGCGGACTCTCAACCACCGCGCCACCAGGGAAGCCCAGGGATCACATTTTTAAAATTCATTCTTGAATTCCCCAACACCCAGCAATGCCGGTCACATGGTTGACCCTGAGTGCAGTATGCCTTTTTGGGGGAATGACCTGAAAAACAATAGCAGAGAAGGCCCTCCAATTTTGTCTCAGACCTCCAGCTTCCCTCTCCAGTCCTTAGGAAGTGTATTTTGTCCCTCTTCCTTTCTTTTGGGGAATTTTACCTGTTCTATAAAATCCTTGAGTAAGCAGTTCCTCCAAACCCAGAGTCCTAATTTCCAGCCCCTCAAACATGTCAGGGAGTTACTTTCTTTTCTTTCTTTCTTTTTTTTTTAAATGTGGTCCTCTCTGCATTAGAGATTAAGTTGAGTTTTTTTTTTAATTAATTAATTTATTTTTGGCTGCGTTGGGTCTTCATTGCTGCGTGCAGGCTTTCTCCAGTTGCGGCGAGCAGGGGCTACTCTTCGTTGTGGCGCGCAGGCTTCTCACTGCGGTGGCTTCTCTTGTGGCGTGTGGGCTTCAGTAGTTGTGGCACGGGCTCAGTGGTTGTGGCGTATGGGCTTAGTTGCTCCGCGGCATGTGGGATCTTCCTGGACCAGGGCTCGAACCCCTGTCCCCTGCACTGGCAGGTGGGATTCTTAACCACTGTGCCACCAGGGAAGTCCCAGGGAGTAACTCATTTGGAGACCTTCTACCTAGAGAAGAAACTGTTATAACCTGAGCAGTCCCACCCCAAGTTACACAATTGATATCCTCTCTCCATCTAGTACACTGTACTAGTTCCTCCAGCTAGAAAAATCTGCTCCCCACGCCCAGCACAGGCTTCCATACCCTCTTCCTCAGCCTTTTTTCAATAAAGGTCCTCTCCTTTCCTAAGCATCCTTGTTTCTACTTCTAGCTCAGTTGTTCCTCCCTTCCAAGTCCAGATCTGGAGTTCTGTCCCCTTTGCTCAGCCTACCCCTTACCAGATCTAGGTTTAGAGCTGTGAGTGAAAGAATGTTGCCTGCCATATCAGTAAACAAAGGATGTTGCAGCCATCAAGCCATCACACTACAACACCCCCTCCCCCAGTGGTGAGCCCTGAGGGAACTCAGGATAGAAACAGTATGCTGACCATCAAGCCATCAGCCACTGAAGCCACCCCCAGCCCCAACAGTTTACCCTGAGGAGACTCAGGATGAGAAAACACAGGGTACTGGCCCCAGATAGCTGACGTGCATATCAAAGGAGTGATTTCAGTGAGCCCAGACTCTTGCATCTTCCCACAAATAGAAAAGCGCCAAATTCTTAACTTGAGATATCTGGTTTTCTTTAATTAACCATAATCTTTTGATGTTCTGACAACCTGGTCTTTGTTGCAAAAACTCCTATATATCCTGGCTCCTCCCTTACCTCTTCCCGGCAGTCTCTCAGAGCTACCTGAGAGGCCGTGTCCCAGGCTTAAGTCTTCGGTTTTGTCTGCCAAATAAAACGTAATTCTCAATTTTTAGATTGTGCTTTTTTTTTTTTTTTTTAGTTGACAGAGCCAACCTCCTCTCTGGTAGAGGGTTTCCATCTTTAAAAACTGGAGTAAGAAATTTTACTTGGTGACCCAGTACACATACCCATGTAAGTCAAACCCGTTTTCCCATACAACATTCTTTTTATTTATTTATTTTTGGCTGTGTTGGGTCTTCATTGCTGCGCTCAGGCTTTCTCTAGAGCACTGAGCGGGGTCTACTCTTCCTTGCGATGCATGGGCTTCTCATTGCGGTGCCTTCTCTTGCTGCGGAGCACGGGCTTCAGTACGTGTGGCACATGGGGCTCAGTAGTTGTGGCTCACCAGCTCTAGAGAGCAGGCTCAGTAGTTGTGGCGCACGGGTTTAGTTGCTCCGCAGCATGTGGGATCTTCCTGGACCAGGGCTCAAACCCGTGTCCCCTCGGACTCTCAACCACTGCGCCACCAGGCAAGTCCCTTATACAACACTCTTGCTGAGTGGAAATCACAGTATTTTCTACCCACTTGTTTCAGTTATTCCCGCCCCCC